GTGATTCAAACTTGGTGAGGCTATGTCGTGATGAAATTTGGCCTTCAATTATTTTGCAAGATTCAGCTTACCTGTGAGATTTATAACCGTTTTCGTAACACCATAATACCATCTCTTATTTACTTCTACCAAACATTACTGCATTAAAGATACTTTATCCTCTATAAAATTAAATAAATCTCGTTTTATTTAAGCTATTGTATTATTTAAATACTGTCTATATATTTTACGCGAATAGTAGACATTTAAATAAAAACACTTAAACGGTTTAGGAACGAAACGTCGGGCCGAAGTTAAAAATCATTTTCAAATAAGTTTAACTAATATATCGCGTTTTAAACCGTTAAAGTGTTTTATTTAAATATTTTACTATTTACCTTTTAATACTTCGTTCTCTGTCTTTGATCACTACAGTATCTTAATCATCTATTATTTTCCTGTAATGTATACGATCATACAAACAGACACAACATTGTGCTCACCTTCTTTCCCGTCCGGAGGGCTAAAAATATTTTTTGGGATGATCTTACTGATCGATGCTCGGTTATGACATACAGAAGAACATGGTAGGGCAATGTTTATAGGTGTTAAACACTTGTGAATATGCAAGGGATCTTGTGAAAAGTTACATAAAAGTGTTTCAAGATCAAAACTAGATTGATGTAAAGAATCTGTTACCTAAATACTTTTTATTTTATTTATTAAAAGTGGTACAAAATGTAACAGCATATATATACTTAGTAAGTAGAGTCTACACAACACAAGCTGTGTTTTACATTCGAATTTCTTATTTTATACATTGAAATTCCGTGGCTAGATCAAACTTAAACTCCAGCGATGTGAGGCAAACTAATGGATATTGCTGTTAATTCGTAATGAGTAATTAATTGCATTGCGTGCACTCACGGAATTCTTGCCAAGATTTTGCTCAATTCTCCGTAAGCATAATTCACGTGAAATTCTTTGGTATTTACACGTGTTACAACCCTTTACCGTTCCTGCTTGGGAAAGATTAGGGATTTTTTATGAAACGAAAGATGACAAACATTTAGAACTTTAAAGGTGAATTTAGCATATAACTCGTTATCTAGATGTGTTGTCGGCCCATTTACGCTTTGATATTAGACAATCCACAGGCTGTAATTGAAACGCTAAGTAACACTTCACCTTTGCTTTATCATTGGTGGATGGTAGTTCCAGACTCGGACAACACTTCCATATTCTTACCATCCATTTAATATCCAGATTTTGAAACACGTTGGATAAAGTGGGTATTGATTCAGGACTCGTTGATTAGAAGCCATGTGAATTGTTACTTTTGGACTCATCGATGTTTGACAATATCCAAAATTAATAGTTAATATATTCCGATATTTAAATAAAACACTTAAACGGTTTAAAACCCGATGTCTATTATTTAACCTAATATAAATCGCGTTTTAAACAGTCAAAATGTTTATTTCAATGTGTACTACTTGCGTAAACCACAGACAATATTCTAATATACCGATTTTATTGCCTCCTTTTCTTAAAGCCGGTTAAGCATTCATATCTCACAGATAATAAATTATTTATCATTCACGTGTGGCCCCAAGAACCAGTTCACGAAACTAGAACTGTCAATCGTGTACCAAAACAATAATAATTCTAGTCTGTAGAATGCAACATTACATAATCCAGTCATGGTATTTCGTATAGTCCACGCCCATGTCTACGCATGTGTAAAATGTTGTAATCCATAGATTAACTTCGGTTCATTGAGTGTTTTGCAAGACTCGAGGCAGTACGGGAAACGGAAATTGGTGTTTTAGTGAACTATTGTCTTGTAAAATAGGAATATAGGATTACTTTATATAGACGTTGAGATATTCCATTAGGTTTTAGTACAAAGTTCGCTAAATTACTAAATCTATACTCATATGTAAAACTGAAGAGTTTGTTTGTTTGAACGCGCTAATCTCGCCGATTAGTGAAACGGACACAGAATTATCTTCGCGTTACGCCTTACGGGGAAACAAAATTGGACTTTTTATATAACTGCACAATACACTAATCTCGAGAAACAATAAATAATTTGGGTAAAACAGAGCACAGTTTTAGTATTTTTCTGCTCAACATCCACCACCACAGAAATATGTTCGTCCTTTAGATGTAATTAAACCATATGTTTTGATACTGGTAACCCAGTTGCCCGCATTGTCAGTTTTAACTATAAAGATAGATTGAAAATTTTGTCATTACCATTTCAAGTATTATGTTACTTGTAACTATTCCAGTTTTGTTACATAAGGTGGGTAAAAATACATTACATAGATATACTTATATAAGCAAACTAAATAAAGATCTCGCTAATCTCGTTACATGGTAATTCCTTTTATTACGTATAATTGCATGTGTCTTAATTATATAATGTCCTGTCTTAGCATATTTCATACTAGCTGTGTCTGCGACTTCGTCCACGTAGAATCATTATTATGGTCACCAAAATTTGTTTTTGCAAACCTTACATTTTATTATTAGTTATAGGTGTTGCCAACGACGTCTTCCGTGTACCGTCGTTTCTTTAATCTTAAAAGATAGACATAGTGTCGCGTGCATTTTTTAGATCATTGAAAAAGGAATCATTCTTTCATAAATATTTTGTGGGTATCTTGAACCGTGAAACCCACATGGATGAATATTTTTCACCGTTTCTTCAACATTTCCCACTGTGCCTTCGCTCATATTAGTCGCATTGTGATGTTTTATAACCTATAGTCTCCTCGGTAACTGCTCTAACCAAAACAAACGGAATTTTTCAAGTAAAAACCAACAGTTGAGATTAGCTCATTTAAACGAACAAACTCTGCAGCTTTATATATTAGTATAGATGCTAACCGCATGTTTACTACAACGTTTCGATTTGCATCAAAGTAACTGTCTGTTAATGAAATAACGTGTGATGAATGTTGTGACAAGGTGGGACCTTGGAGGTTCTCAACTCTGACATTAGAAGGCACATTCCTTTATCCCAACGTAATTCGATACGGTTTCGGTAATTGAGTGGTTTAATAGTACCAAAAGTAATGCGTTTGACGTGCTCGTTGGTCTAATGGTAGAAATGTGTGGCTAATCAACGGGTCGTGGGTTCGATCCCCACCAGATCCAACACGATTTAATATTCCAATTTATAATTTTTCTGAAACATGTTGGACTTTGGATGTTAAATGAGTGGTAGGAATATAGATATTCCGTCCGGGTCACGAACCACCTCCACAGATGAAAAAACCTTAATCGCATCTCGGATTCAGTCTGTGGATTTCCGAATATCCAAACTAAAGCTTTGTGCTAGGGTTGCAATTTTTACTTTTAAGGACACCCTCGATCTTCAGCTTCCATAACCACGACTGCTGCAAAGCATTCGAAACGTTTAACTAATTATACTTTTAAATGTCTTTTAGGTGAATAGAATGTGCAAATATTCAATAAAAGAAACTCACGCAAGTTACTCCTCAAGTGACAAGGGCGGGTAAATTTGACACGGGTTGGGCGGGTGATTTGAAAGGGCGGGTAGATTGCATATCATAGACCATAGACAATATGAACAAATCTATACTAATATTAATCTATACTAAAATAAAGTTAAAGAGTTTCTTTATTTCCTTATAACATCGAATGTACTAAATACTAATAACCTATTTTTATTATTTTACAATGCTTCAGTTGTCTGCAAAGGAAGGACAAACATTTTCACATTTACATAGCCAATGTGAATTACTATACATTGCATTCAATGGCGAAATCCATAAGAACGATAAGCCACGATCCGCTGTCCTCCAAAAGTTATCGTGTGTGCGGTTGTCCTAACGTACTGACACGTTTTCATAAAACGGTTAGCACTGAATGAGCCGGATTTGGTAAAGAATCTCGCAGGTTGCTCGGTCACTTGTGTTACGGTGTTTCCCTTATCTGGTGGTATAACCCAATTTGCAGAGCCTTAGAACATGTGTTACTCGCGGTTGTAATGCTGCATTTTTGCTGATAAACTTTCCGCTTAAATGCATAATATTTATCAGCATTACAGGATTTTTTAACTATGAGCCACTGCTGGGCTCCGAATTCCGATACACAGTTTACGGCTTAGGCCCACCTCACCAGTAATAACTTACTTTCCAAGATGGCGGAGATAACCCCTTTTGCTGTAAAACGTCAGGCTATGTAGATATTTTAATTCCCAATACAACACTTCAATTAGCCAACAGACTAACGAGGCAATTTCTAGAATATTCTCCCATATAGGTACGTTTGATATAAACTAGCTTTACGCAAAACATATATTATATGCTAAACAAAGTAGTCCATACAAATACGAATAAGTACTTAAAGATAAGACATTGTTTTTCTTCACTAAACTCGAAGTGAACAGTATGCTGTCGTTACGCATCATGTGATGATAATATGAAAATATTTTATCTTATGGGTAAGTTATTGTGCAGATGTGCAGAAAATATGTTGTCCTATGACGACAGCTACGGACATTTTGCCATCGTTCTAACTCGCTTAAAATTTCAAAATGAGATGAAAAATATTATTTACACGATCAAGATGACTGCCTCTCTATTTGATAAGAATAACGAACATTTTAATATTTCTTTATATACAAATAAAGCAACAATAACTTTATAATAAAATACAACACTTTTAGCGGTTTGAAACGCGAAACATATTAGTTAATCTATTTAATCTAATGTATTTTGAGTACGGCCCGATGTTTCTTACGCTTTGCAGCAGTCAATGTGTTGAATTATACTCTCAAGTGTAAAACGATGGCTTTAACGCTCTAAAAAAAGCATTATAAAACATTTACCATGGAAAAAATATACATGAGTCTCAAATCCTAATGTTAGTTCTCCCCTTTTTTATCACTAACTTTGCTATTTCAAATACAGTAAAAAATAGGATGATGCCACATAGCACTCAAATTTATGAAGTAATTCTAAATAACATCTCTTTCTTTGCAGATGTGACTCGGACCACACAGCGGAAATGCTATACACCCATCTCCTGGCACTAATAGAGAGACCAGAGAATCAGAAAAAGTTCGCGGACATCGAAAAGAAATTACAAATGAGGGGGGCATTGCCTAGCAGTAAGAAACCCCCAGATTCTTCACTGGGCAGTGAAGTATCGAGGGAATCTGACTCGGGCAGTAACGAAGACAGAAACGTGGCTAATCTGTACGACAGTTTGGCGGCAGAACTAAAGCAGAAGTTGTCTACAGGTAAAAAGGGAATAGGTCAGTCGAGTTTTTTTAATTTACAGTAGTTTGTCGGCTTTTGCGGATCACGTATTTATTGAAGCCTTGGTTTAATGTACATTGCTTGTAAATAGATGTAGTTCACACGAGTGGTACGCATTTATTTAAAACACTTTAACGGTTTAAAACGCGAAATATATTATTTAAACTTCAACAAATTACTTTTAACTACTTCCCGACGTTTCGGGTGCTTCGCAGCAGCCGTTGCAACTTTGCAACAACGTTTTAAACCGTTAAAGTGTTTTATTTATAACTTAGCTTGTAGTTTAGTAACACTTATAAGATATGGAAGAAAAAGAATTTCGCGATGGTAGTAAATGTAAACTTGATGTCTTGTTTTTTTACTGTATTTGACATTCATAAGTGTACCCTATCACCTACTTGAATTTAAGATAATTATTACGCGGAAATAAGTTTATATCTTTCTTAAAAGAACATAGTTTTTTGTATCAATATATATAATAATGTACCTATCTAATATATATATATATATTTATTTATTTATGTACACAAAGTAATTCTAAATAAACTACAATTCGTTATTTTATTTCCGTTAACTAATGTTGTTGAATATAGCTTTTACAACTATATATATTTATTGCACTGGTTATGCTTTGATGTTTTTATCGCTTGGAGTAGTAGAAGTAGTTATAGTAATAAGTTTCTTACAACAGACTAAAAGTTTTAAATATTAAACATCATTTCGAAAACTGTGGAAAATAAAAAGTCGTTTTACATCAACTACTTTACTTTTATATTATATTAAAATATTTCCATTTAAAATTTCCAGGAAAAAGTCCAATTCTGCTTCCACCCCGAGACTACGACACAGTGCATAGACAAAAGGGCAATTTGAGCAACATTGACACTCGCCGCTGTCTCAACCAGAGCATCGTTGGGGTTAACGAGAGACGCAAGCTGGAATCTTCGGGGGGTAGCTCGGGAATCGGTAGCGATTTGGCTCCATCCCCTGAGAGGAATGATTATAGACCGCATGACAACCATAGCACTAGTGGTAAGTTCTTGAAATATTTGATACGTCGCAGTAGGACGCAAAATGAAAACCATAGATTCTAGAAAAATTGTCGAAAATACTCTAATACACGCAATTATCTGGTATTAATTTAAATAAAACACATAAACCGTTTTGAAAAAATTACAACTAGTCAATTTTGGATCCGTATTTTAAAAAAATAACAACTAGTCAATTTCGGATTTATTTTTAAAGTTACTTAATTGAACTTTTTTTATAATTTAAACCGTCAAATACGTTAGGGATTTACTGTCTTACTTAACACATTCTCTATACGGGTTCGTAGTTTACAAACGATTAAGTAATGATGTTTGCCTCTTTAAATTTATACCAGCCGCCTATACTACAGATTTTACGAGCTTGTATGTGTGTACCACCGTTCACAGATGAAAAAGCCGTCAAGTTTAATCGCGTTTCGGGCTTAGTCTGTGGATTTCCGAATATCCAAAGCCAAAATAGTTCGACGGAGCATCTTATTAAGATGTTATATGGCTTGGGTCTTTCACCTACCATGAAGTAACCCTATGCTTGTAAAAATAGACAATAAGACTATTAGTATCTAATTTATATCTGTTGATTTCCGGTTATCCAAATTAAAATAGGCCAACAGCGCATCTTGTTGTCTAGTTGTATCGCGGGGTATTTCAGCTTGTTTGTCTTTCTCTATGATAAAAAATACAGCTTAAGAAATCATATCTACATCTATTTAGAGTATGTTATCAACATATTTCTTCCTATCTTATCGAACAAGCACTGAGAACAAACAGATTGGATTTTGTTTATTTTTAGCACGCTTTATAGCGTCATCGTTCGTGACCAGATTTTTAAACATACATAGCTATGATACTTGTTTAACAGCACTTTAATAACCAATTATATTGTTTTTTGTCTCGTCTCTTGCGCATCTACTACCGCGTCTTTGTTTAAAATCCGTTTACATTATGCCAATAAAAGGTAATTTACACACAATTACATTTACAGATTCTAGCCCTAGCCTCTGTAACGTGTTGCCTAGCATGGCGTTAAGAGGTCTTAGGTTCGAATCCCAGGGACAATAGATTGTTTCAGTTAGTTAGTAAAACTGATCAGCCAAACAGATACATAACTGTGTCTATAGTTTACGCGAGTAGTACACATTTAAATAAAACACTTTAACGGTTTAAAATGCGATATATTAGAGTCTCCCCGTGACCACGGCTGCTGCAAAGCATCCGAAACGTCGGGCCGAAGTTTAAAATCATTTCCAAATAAGTTTAACTAATATATCGCGGTTTAAACCGTTAAAGTGTTTTATTTAAAAGATACATAACTGTGTTCGCCCCACGCCTAATGCCCCACGGTGCAAACGGGATTATACTTTTTCATTCAAAGATTTATGTTACCACTTCTGTATATCGCTTATAATGACAATAATAATAATTTAAGTAACTTAATTTAAACAACACACATTAACAATTTTAAAACGCGCACTTAATTTAACTACGATCTGACGTTTCGGATGCTTTGCAGTAGCCGTGGTCATGGTACGCATCTGAAACCCACAGAGATGAAAAATTTCCCCCTTTTTGTTCACATTTTCCACTGTATCATCGCTTCTATTAGTCACAGTGCGATGTTTGATAGCCTTCCTCGATAAATGCTCTAACCAATATCAAATATAATTTTTCAATTCGAACCCGTAGTTCTTGAGATTAGCGCGTTCAAACAAACAAACTCTTAGGTTTTATATATTAGTATAGATTCGCGTTAAGGATTTTTCGTAGATTGTAGGTATATAGCTTTTTAAATTAAAGTTAATTAAATAAATGGTTATGGTTAGATAATTTTCAAAACTGGAACTCGCCGGAAACGTAAAAAATATTTAGAAAGTATTCTAAGCACAGTAGTTCACCTTTTTATCTATAAATGGCAAAATGACGCAACCTCCAGCAACATTCTATAAACTTCAATTTATGCGTTTTGTAAGAATGAGGAACCAATTTCAATGGTCAACAGCTCGGTATAAAAGTACTCTAGACATAAATATTACAGGTGATGTTACATGGCACGTTTTATCGATCGATATAAACTAAATAGGTGTCAATTTTCATAATATTCGAATAAACACGTAAAAATAACTCCCTCTCTTATTACTTAGAAAACTTATCTTGATCATAGTTATTTTAAGCCAAGCTAAGCTGACGAACTAACTTTGTCGGTGATTTAAAAATTGTGCATAAATTAAGCACTGTTTCTACATATTTAAATAAAATACTTTTAACTGTTTAAAACGCGAAATGTGGTCACGGAACTGCTTCACTGGCTAAACGATAACTCGATTATAGAGATTTCACTGTATTAACTATGGGAGTTAAATTACGTTCAAATTAATTTCATGTAGCTCAGTCTAAGATACTAAGCTAGCTTAAAATTATTCAGTACACGTTATTGCATTGACCCCAACAGTTTTGTCTCCCTCGCCAGTGGTTTAGCTACGCGTGACTTGAGTTTTTAATGACATACTTAATTCGTAAGTGTCTTCGTTCGCAGCAATTACCTAACTGTTAAAATTTAAGTATGCGCAAATTTTGTTGACCGGATTTAAACTTATTTTATAAACAAATGAAATAAAACAGTTGAACGAATATTGATGAAAGTAAATAATATATCATCTTAGACGCCATAATATCCAAAGCCAAAATAGGCGACAGCACATCTTAAAGAGTTAAGGGATATTTCACCTTATACAAATCTACTTTATAATAAAAATATATATTATATGAGTTTATAATAGAGTCATTGTAGAATTATTTAAATAAAAATTATATAAATAAAAAACTCAATATGTTTGTTAAATTTATTTAAAAATTATTTTAACTACGTTTTGGGTGCTTTGCAGCTGCCGTGGTCACAGGGAGTCTCCCCCTCGCAAACGCAAAACGCAATCTAATAATGTTTGAAAATAAGTTTAACCAATACAGATTGCGTTTTAAACCGTTAAAATTTTTAATTAAACAGAATACACAACGAGTTTTAAACCGTAAAAGTGTTTTATATAAGTGTGTACTACTCGCGTAAGCTACAGACAGTACTTGTAAGTAATAGTACGATTTTAATATGTTCTGAATGAGTTATGTTTTTTGCAGACCTTCAGCGGTAAGGTGAAACTTATATTGCTTGGTCAGTAATTAAGGATTAATTCATATAAATTTTAAAATCCAATTCGAATTCAATCTATACAAACAACACGCGATAATAATTGCTTTACAATAGAAATCTTTGCCTGGAAAAGATCACGTGGTATCAATAAAATCGTTCTGTTTGTATCTACTTTACACCAAAAAACTTTGACTTTAGTCTAAAAGATCCTCAATGTTCTAAGGTTTTAAAAACAATCCTTTTAACGGTTTATAATGCGAAATACATTGGAGAACTTATTCTTGATTATGACACGTTTTAAACCGGTAAGAAGGTTCTATTTAAATAAAATACTTGGACGGCTTACAACGTGATATACATATATTCCTGCCTAACAACGGCTGCTGCAAAGCATTCGAAACGCCGGGCCGTAGTTTAAATAATTTTGAAATAAGTTTAACTAAAATATATCGCGTTTTAAACCGTCTAATGTTTTATTTAAACGTTCAATTTAATTGTGTAAAGCTCCCGTAAACAACAGACCTAACTATCAAAATTAATTAAAATAACAAGAAAAGGGAAAGCTCATTAATTCCCACAATAAATCTTATCAACAATGAAAAGTGGCCAAACGACAGTGAAACCCGTATCTTCAATTTAACCAAGATTCCATTGATAGCGTCAAAAGATTGGCACGTGGGAGAAGCAGGTTCTATCTATGTCAATTCGTATTTTAGAAATGAGAAAAAACTTGTTCAAAGATGATATTCTGTACCGTTATATGTAAAAGTTGGCTTGACAATGCGTCGCATATATCAAGTATTGAATTGTACTAAGTAGGCTTTTGGGCCAGTAATTACGGGGATATAACACTTAATACTGCCTCCGTGGCGCGTTGATTAAATGCGAGAGTTAATGGTTTCGAATCCCAGAGCATTATTTCGTTCGACCACATTTTGTCTCTAAATTCAGTTAGTATAATCACTACTGTTACAATATGCAATCAAAATATAGCAAAATCTATTCGACTTTATACAAGTTGTTACATGAGTCTTTGCTCAAAGTTTACTCAACTTAACTTTGAGTAAAATATTTAGTATTTTAATTCACTTTAACGGTTTAGAACGCGATAGATAGTAGTTAAACTTGTTTGAAAAAATTTTAACAACGTCCTACGTTTCGGATGCTTTGCAAAATATTTAAAACAATTTTAATGACTACATGTTTTAAACCGTTAAAGTGTTTTATTTAAGTGTGTACTACTCGCGTAAACTACTGGCAGTATTATGTTAAAACTACTGTCTGTAGTTTAATTTAGTATCGTCTATAAGTGTCATTGCATTGGCTTCGTACATGATTTCCATAACAATAAATACACTATGTCTCGAACGAACAACTATTAAAAGAAGGTCAAAGACATATCCGCTCATATACTCTCTCTTAAAAAGTCTCTTTTAAATTTCAATATTCTTTTTCAGAAGAGGACTGGGCTGAAAGCACGGCCTACATGATGCACGAAGCCTTTGACGCGTCACCACCACGACGAGCACCTTCCCCACGACGGTCTTCACCTCCACGCCGCATGTCACCTTCTCGTCGTACTTCACCCCCACGCCGTACTTCACCCCCACGCCGTACTTCACCCCCACGCCGTACTTCGCCGCCTCGTCGCAATTCCTCCCCTCGTCGCACGTCACCCCCTCGCAGGACTCTATCTCCAAGGAATTACGACAGGTCATCCTATAACGATGACTTATCCGACCAATTTAGAGACTCACTCGCTCCCTTCCGCGAAGCCACTTTCGAAAGACGATTCCGACAAGAATCACTTGAACGCGCGAGTAAAGACAAAATAGAGAAATACCCAGAAGAAGTACCGAATTATAGGCGAAGATACGTCGCAGATACCAAACCATCAAACCGCAGCATGGATAGAGTCGATGGCAGATTTGGTAAGCTCCAAAGAGGCGCCAGCGAGGGGAGCTTGAAACTAGCGGATGCGTCACCAAAAGAACGATTCAACGTCGCTAAGGAAAAATTCAAGAATCTAGAGCGGGAGAGATTTAACCGTGAGTTAGAGGCGCATATGGCTATGAGACGGAGCATGCTGGAAGCTAGGAACAGTCGCTCGACTTCTTCTCCAGAGGAAGAACGACGGGACGAGCGTCAGGAGCGTCACAGAGAACCCTCTCGGAGAGAACAGGAGCGTTCTCATCGCGATGTGGATCGTTCTCTTAGGGAGCCGGAACGGCGTAAAGAGGAAAGAGTACGTGACCTGGTACCAGACATACACAGGGAAATGGAAAGACTCCCCCGCGTAGGCAGAAAGCGTGATGATTTAAAGCGATATGAATATGGTACGGAGGATTATCTGAACAGAAACGAACCTAAACCGCTACGTGAGGATTACGACAGGTACCGCGATAGAAGGGAATTGGACCGTCGTATCGATGAGGATGAAGTTATCGAGCCAATAATAGATGATAGGAGGAGAGACTGGAACGACAGGCAGCGGGCGTTCAGTCGCTCCCGTCTGTTGGACGAGCAGAGACAGTCCTACGCAGAGGGAGATAGAGATAGATTTTATGAAAGGGACTATAGAGACTTCCGCGATCTATCCGACCGACAACCGGCGAAGCTCCGCCATAGTTACGCGGAACCTATCTCTAGAGGTCGCCTCGGCACCGTAAGACCTTATTAAACTGCCATAATAGATAGTCTGACCATGTACATGTTCACATTGTAATCACAAATTATAACTACATTAGTATGTCTGTATAGAGCTTTATCGTTTTTAGTTGTCATGTAATAGGGACATCGAATTGTTATGATATAATAAGTACCAATTTTGAAATTAGCCTAGTCCATTGTCTAGAAAATATATACTCTTTTTAAATCTAAATTAAATATCTGGTTTTATAGATATAAAAAAAATAATAAAATTGAAATGGACGTCTGATTGGCAAATGCAAATATATAGATTGTTACTTTTTAAAATATTTATCTAGAACCAGAGCATATCGTTTTTTTAATTATGTTGATAAACATATGTTTACAGTCAAAATGATAGACGAATGTCGCCCAAAATGTTTAACTGTTTAAAAAATGTTTGTTTCGTAATTCAATACTTTTAACCCTTTAAACAGTACTTGTAAATATAAATTATATTTAACCTAATAAATCGTAAATATAAAATTTTATAAAACTGTACGTTCGTTTAAAATATCTACAGGAGAAATACAACGATCAGATAGAATATATTCTGTAAAGTTTTGTTACAAATAAACGAATATACTTATGTGGCTGTTTATTTTGTTATCCTATTTAATAAAAATAGAACAATACAGTAATCCATAGTTGTGTCTTGTACCTTTCTAATGTAGTACTAGGAAGTGGTTTTCACTGTCAAAGATTTAGGAACTCTTATAGATCACATATCACTCTATCAACTCCATTGCCAATTACATTTGCTGCATAAATAATAAAAAAAATGCATAAAATTAGCCGAGAGAAGTCTTTACTTCTTTCGGCTTATTTTAAACTCCTGTTTTAAGTAGCTGATAAATTCGTAGACACAGTTACAAATATACATTTGATAAAGACTGTAGATGACATTTTTCGAACCGCACATAGTTGGCTAAACACTAAAATAACACTACTTAATTACTCAAGGAACAAAAGAAAAAGCAATAAGAATTCACGGTTTATTTTCATAAGATCATTCGTTATTGCACACATTCAATATTGCACTATTATTGCACATATTATTGCACATATAATATAAAGTATATAAGTAATATTAATAATCAACCATACACATATTATTTACATTTACAAACGAGGATATTGCTTAAACAACACAAATAAGGTTTGCAACCGTATGAAACAGCTGAAAAAGTGTATTTTAATTAAAAATAAATTCAACTGTACATAGTGCTTATGTATTAGGCAATAAATACTTCGGAGATAACTTATTCTATATATACCTAAATACGTCCTTATCTTTAAATAAGGTGGTATATTGAGATACGTAAGGAAGTACCTTATTCAAACCGAAATAAGCTAAATATTAAGTACACTAAGTTATTAGATCTGTATATATTCGCTTCTTGAGAGACAATTTACATCTATATCAAGTTTCGGTACTTGGTACCTTCAAAATATAGATCATAAAATGTATAATAATTTCAAACCATGTTTTTTCTCTACTTGAAAAATCCTGTTTGTATAAAATGTTGGCCCTTGAGCTCTAGTCGTTTCCTATTGAAGACAGCCTAGCAGATCTTCACTCTAAGGAAAGTATCCCAAGGTATCTTCTAGGCACGCGTTTCTGCTGAGCGGCCGATGCTCAAACATCCTAGCGAGAGGTGGTACTCCGGAAAGTGGGAGGGCGGGTCGCGCACACCTTCCACCCATGAGGGAGCGTACATCGGTGCGTTGTGACAGCCGCACATCTGCGAAGAGGGCAGCCATTTCTGCGGACTTCTTCACACTCAGGGCATCGTGGGACCCGGCGCCAGTGCTGCGCACTGTAAATTTAAAATAATTGAGAAGATGCTCTAAAGAGCTTATAAGAATTACACTTATATTTTAGGTAGATTTTAAAATTCAATAACACAGCAATGCAACTAGCCCATTTTTTATGAAACAGGTTACAAGAGGATAAAGAAACTTTTATTTCATGGAAGGTGAATCATCCCTGCCAAAACAAACATTTTGGCTTTGGAAAACCGAAACGAGATTAAATTTCCCGGCTTTTTCGCCTTTGTTTAATGTTCCGTGAGCCGAACAGATTTTCGATATTTCTTCCACCCACGTCATATCCTGTTTTTTTTTCAGACCATGTTTCAGAAAATATAGATTTTGATTAGAAACATGGTAGAGGCACGTGACACGGAAGCTTTTAAAATTTCCTCTTTGCAGTAAATTGTAAATACGAACCGGTAAGTCTTTGCATATTCCTCGCTCTTGCGTCACGCGTCTTGTTCTGCAGCAGCAGCTCGTAATCCAATGCGACGCTGTCTGAACTGCGCGCGCGCCTTCGTTCTTCGCGTCGTCGGGATGATGCGCCAGACCTTTAATAGTTATTTAAATTATTAAACAAAAGTTATAACTTAGAAAATTTTGAGTTGTTGATGGTAATCTATACTACTATAAAGAGCTTACGAGTTTGTTCGTTTGTTTGAACGAGCTTATCACTTGAACAGCTGGTTCGGATTGAAAAATGTTTTTTTGTTGATTAGAACATTTACCGCTGTAGGCTGTATATGGGCTATACTCATAACATCGCGCTATGCATAATAACAGCGAAAATGTTTAAAATATGAAGAAAATTAGTCAGCTTTGTGGATTTCCGAAGCGTAGGTTGCGAAAATAGTTCAAGATACCCAAGCATTATGTATAAAATAATGATTGACAGTATATGTCTATCGTATTAACTTGTAAGAACGACGGGACGCGGACGGCGTCGTGAGTAACAGTATATAAAGATGAGGAGGCTGCAAAAACGAATTTGGATGCACAAAATAGCTATTCTACGCGGACGACGTTGCTGCCACGGCCTAATGTTATTGTTTTAAGATAAAAAGTCATTTTAAGTATTTTATATCACTTTTGTAACGGTTGTATAAGCAAATATTTCTAAGCGATTCTCAGAAAATTATTATTTAGGACCCCACCTGCTCCTCGGTTTTCCATCATGCTCGTCAAAGGCCCGTCTCAATTTCTCAGTGTACCGACGTGAACCCTGAAAATCCTGAGAGTTCTGTTCACTTCGTCTCGGACCGGGGCAGTAACATTTGTTGCTGTCTTCACAACTCTCTGAATCACAGGAGCAGTAACTATAATCGCCTTCATACACTTCCCTGGAAGGTAAACGTATGAAAAATCAACTTTAAATTAAATGGCTGTATATTTAGAATTTACCCACTCAACAAAATTAATTAATCTCTTATTATAATTCAAATTAAGTGTAATAATGTTAAAAGGATTTGTCTATATTAGGCCATAAATAATCTCTTTTATATTTTTAATGCATACGAATATATAGGAGCAAAGAACACAAACCGATGCTAATTTCAAAGTAAAAGGTGTAACACTCGCTCGAGTCAATTAAAAATTAACTTAATTATTTTGGGCACAACAGAAAGTAGCCAATAAAAGTAAAAATTCGTATGAGGAAAGTTCTATTAGAGATAATAAATTCGTAGCTAAGTAATTTTAATTCGGTTTAGTTACTCGTGAGGCGTCTCGAGCCAGACAAGGCACGCTCTGATTAACATTATACTTCTTCACTTAGAGAATCTAATAATGGACTATAAATAACTAATAAATAAAGCACGCATTCCTTTGAGATGGATACGAGTGAGTCTAATGTAATTAATTCTCCTCGCAAAGATGCACTCTTATTAGACTCAAATGATATATGATGTAAACGAAAGTAGAGAAATGCTGAAGTTGTTTAAACCAGTTTAAGGATATAAATCCAATTACGGATATCCATTTAAATATTGTTTATGCATCAACTTTCACCGCGTAAACGTTTAGTCTTAGATAAATTGATTCTTACACCAACTTATAAATATCATTAAACGTAACTTAACAAACGTCAAGCTTAGTAAATCAATCACTAGATCCATCGTGTAAAATGTTAAAAAAAGAATATAAACTGTCTTTAGGTTACGTGAGTAATACACATAAAAAACACTTAAACGTTTTAAAACTGGTTAACATTAGTAAAACTTATTTCAAATTTGAAGAACTACGGCGCGACGTATCGTATGCTTTGCAACAGACGTGGTTACGGGAAGACTGTCTTCCCTTAACGGTAAAGTGTTTTATTTAAAAGAAAGAAATAAACTATGTGTTTTCAGTATTCGTGTCGTATCCAATTAATGCGATCTAGATTACAAGCAAAATTAATTGTCATTGCTAGATAAGATTTTGTTATAAATGACCGAAATAGAAAGGGGGAGAAATAATGCGAGAAAGTCTGTAATTGTTAATGTACTTACTTTGAACATTCTTTGCAGTTCTTGCCCAGTAGTTTCGCCTTTGCTGAATCTTTTCCGTTGTCCAATGCAGAGCAATAGCACTTTGATTTACAGTCCGTTTTTATAGAACAATAGCATCTATCCATGCAGCTTTCAGATTCACATTCTGAACATGAAACGTAACCACTTGAACTATTCCTATTTTGGCCTCCCAATCTATTGCTGAGGGTTAAAAAATCGGAATCTTCAGACGACGTTCTCTCGCCAGGCCTCGATTTTCCCTTTCTACCTGATACCTGAATCTTATCAGACCTCCTCGAATTTCTCTTCACGTTTTGTCGTTTGGAAGTAATTATGGGAGGCTCTTTAGGCTTAAACTGCCTCAAATCATAACTGGACGTTGAAACGGAACTTTCAGAGACCGGCTCCTTTATATCTAAATTTTCGTTCACTTGTAGAGGCTGTATTTTCTTCTTTTCTTTCTTCTTACCGAAAGGAAACCTAAATACCGTTCTGAGACCACTCGAGCCTTTGAAAAAATTCTTTTTCTTAATCTGAAATTTACCGCTGCGTCTAAGAATTTTTTTCTTTTGCTTTTTCATAATCGCCTTACTGTGTTGAAATATTTCGTCCTTAGTTAGCGTTACGGATAATTTTAATAAGAACTCCTTGTAAATAGGTTTTAAGTCGTTGAATGACATTCCATCCGGATCAATTATAACGTTTAAAATTTCATCCATGGAATGTAGATTTTCTTGTACTTTAAATTCGTGGAATAATTCGTTAAAACCTAGTGGTGAACCTCCGCCTTTTTTACCGTTATTCCTGAAAAAAAGGCGTGTTAAATAATTACAACAGGTGTAAATATAACGTTGCAATTGGCACGCAATTGAAATGCTGAACAGATAGCTGTTATTTATTTTTTATCGTCCACAATTACCTAAATATTTTAGCAAGTCTTTAACAGTTCTATTGAATTGGAACAAGAATTTAAACTATTTTATAATTATAGAAAAGTACATAAGTGTTCTAATTGGCAATAAAAAGACGCAAATATTTTTAACAACACAAAGGAATCTTTCAGGATTTTGACTTACCTATGTCCGATAGATTTGTAACGTGTTAGTCCACCCGCATTTAGAAAGCTTCCAGATCTTGGAATGGCTACCTTCGTCAGTATATCGCCAGTTTCACCTAATAACTGTCTACCACTTTGAGTTCTTCTCAAAGGTTCTTTAGATTCATCTGTTGGCTTAGTGGGTATAGGAGGGGGCAAAGTCGGAGGGCGTTTTATGCTCTTCCGTCTTTCTAATTCACGAAATAATTCAATTTTTTCAGATACCTTGCTCCGCACGGTTGATTCACTACTGCTGTGATTTTGAGGTGCATTATTTGGTGAATTTGAGTTGGAATTGGGTATTGTTGGTTCTTTGATTTCTTTTGACTTCCTCGATTCGTTAGATCCTGATTCCTTACCTCTTTTGATTGAATCTAATTTCGCTTTAACTTCTTCAACTGTGATTCGTTTCGCATCTAGCGGCAGTACGGGTGGAGACGAAATCGATAACTCCTTGAAATGTTCTATTTTTGTATTCTCATGAAATGACTCACTCGCAGAGAATCCATCAGCTCTATCACTATCACCGCTGTAAGAAGATGTGCTCCGCTTTTTTCTTGGCGGTCTAATTGGTATATCGTTTGTGGGTAAACTGCTCGCGATACTCATACAACTGACTCCGTTTCGATTTTTGAATTTCTTGTTATCGGCGTGGCCTTGACGACTCATATGTGACATAAGGGATTTGTATAACGTGGCTGCTATCACGATAGCGTCCTCAGTCGTCTGACATACAAAACCATGACACTCGAGTTGTTTAGCAACCCCGATTTTCCTCATCACAACAGCGAAAAGTGGTGAATGTGTGTTCTCGCTATGGGAGAGGATATATTTCTTTTCCTGGCTCTCCAGGGGCTTAAATAAAGCATGGCGATCAATATTATCAGGGTCTGTTATCAGAGGTAGGAACGCGTAACTCGGTTCGCTGGATTCCTTTTCTGAACTTTGGACGACAAACTTCACAGCAGACCATACTGCTATCGTTGGGAATGGATTCAATTGCTCTAGATCCCCCTTTTCGCCTTTATATCTGACTTTTAGTCCGCTTTTTGATATTTCTAATCTGCCTGTAAACGTGTTTTTGTTTCGTAAATTTCTTCTATACGCAAAGTATAGGTCCTTGAGAGGTGTCTGAAGTCCAGAGAGACTCGTTACTTTGTTCTGCAGTGGTGTAGAACCCAGGTAATGCACGTTGAAAAGGTGCATCCCTATTTGGTCTTGTCTCGACTCTCCGGCCATGTCAGCGAACATTCTCTCTATTCGATCCTGGACTGAGCTATTGATCTTCTTAATTTTCGTGCCGCAATAATCATTTTCGTCCTCAGAAATCGTAGTCTTGCTGTCTCGCGTAACACTGATCTGAAAGAAAAAATAGTAAAGAAAAAGTTACGTATACAACATCGCTAGTATAAAAAGTTTCATGCAAACAGGAACTACTGGTTAAATTGAATGCAATAGAGTTATGTTCTCACATTTTTATAGCTAAGATAATGGTTATAATTTATCGATGTTCTCTAGCATCTTCCGTAAAGGTTTATACGGATTTAGACATTGTTTGTGAACGTCAAAAACTTTATTGGTATTAATATTTGTGAGAAATTTTATCGTTTTTGACTTCTATCGAGTTTCGGACCTAGTAGAACTTAATCAAAGCAAATTATATTGAAAAATTTACCTTACTATCTCGCCGGCCTATATCAGACATGGGTCCATATTGCTGGAGGCTGTTGACGGAGCGAGTGTCATCGAAGAGTGCGTCGATCTTCTGTTTGTAGAGCGAGATAGAAGATACGCTCGGAGCTCTCTGTCTCGCCCCGTCATCGTCACGACCGCCCAGGTGGAAGCCGCCGACAGATGTGTCGTTCTCGCACGTTACCATCTGAAAGATGCCAGTCCTTTCATTAGTTGAGCCTTATTGCGCTTCATAGTTGAATAATGTAAGTAGTTTTATGAAAATTGTAATACGATAATCAAATACGATATATTATGTTATTAAATGAAAGAGTAATATAACCAATTTAAACCACATTAAATGACGAAAAACGATACAATTTTAATACACATATTTGTATTCATACGGGCCGTACATAGTTAAAATAACTTGTAAATGAATTTAACTAATATTTTGCGTTTTAAACCGTTAAAGAGTTCTATTCAAATATTTTATAAACGCTCAAACTTGGCAAAGGCTAAACCTTCTAAACGAGATCTTGTTATGTTTTCAAGAACAATAAACTTGCCACTTGCTATTTAAGAATCGACATTATTTTAAGTACTTACGTTACTACGGACTAAGTATATACGTGTAACATAAAAGTGAAACTTTATTTCCAAAATTTTCACTCGACCATGATGTAACGGTGTTGTGATTTTACGCATTTTGTTAACTTACGTGAACGATTAAAAATCTTGACCGGTCAAGATACTTGTTAGACGGGAGAAATGTTATCGGCGATAGTTATACAGAAAATTTTTCGCGAGGTTTAAACTTATTTCGTAATAAAGAAATAACTTTCTTGTACTTAGTAAAATGTGATCTTAAAAGAAAGAAACAAGAAAATACTGGAGGTAGGCGTGAAGCGATAAGTGTCATTAAACTTTTAACAAAACTAAACTTTTAATAATAAACATTCGATGTTTCAAGTCATCACGCGTTAAATCATAGTAAAATGTATTTAGTTTGTATCTATCGCGTTTCAAACCGATAAATCTGTATTATTTGTAATGTGTAATGTATGCGGAGTGTGTAAAATTGGTTTCATTTAGTTTTTCACCATCGTATCGCGGTTCTTGAGAAACAACCTGGTGACAGATAGACGGTAACTCACCGTTTAACTGCTTTTTTAGTAGTTTTAGTTCTTATTAGAAACTTTAGGTAGTACCTACACTCTAAAAAGTGTGTGTGTAAAACAGTCGACATCGTAAGATCATAGTCGCCCCCTACAGTGCATAAGTATTTTATAAACGCTATACATAAAACTTTCACTTGTTTTGATTACTGAAATGAAAAAAGACGTGTTAAGGTCTTTACGCTTTTGTCAACTTTCACCGATGGCCGTTACTTTGTACGCAAACTAACTAATCATCGAAGCTAGATAACATACAATGCGTAATTTGGAACGCAACGACGTGTCAAGATCAGCTGTGTTGTACGAAAATTTTGAAGTCTGGGTCGCAATAAGCTACAAAAAGCCTTACCTTAAAGAACGGAAATATTATTTATTTAAGTTTATAAATTACTACCATACGTGCGAAGATTAGGATAATTCAGACATCAAAAAGGGCCTTAAGGTGCTACGCTGATTTTCTGGTGGAACCCGGCTGTTGACATGTGTTGCGATAAAAACATTATGTAGTATTATTATTATATCGCAGTGGCAACAAAACACGCAGTTACATCTTCAACTTCCTAATGACAAATACACACTGGTGCGTACGTTTTAGCAAAACATCTTTGGATGAAATAAATGAAAAGTAAATACTGTCTATAGTTTACGCGAGTACTGCTTTGCAGCAGCCCTGGTCTCTCCGTGACCACGAGTGCTGCAAAGCATCCGAAACTTCGGGCCGAAGTTAAAAATCATTTTCAAATAAGTTTAACTAATATATTGCCATATATTTTAATATGCTTGAAATAACTGTTGATTGGAATGTCAAAAAGTATATGTATATCAATAATGTTTAATATTTACCTCTTCAGCTGATCAAGGGCCTCAGGCCCTGTATGAACTAGCATTTTGTACTGGTACTCTCCACTACCCAGAAATACTGAAACAAAAAAAGGATAAACGATGGAGATACAAAGAATTACACTAAAATTAAACTAAGGACTATTAACTGTTTTACACACGAATAATTTAAGTAACTAAGTTTTTCATTCCTATTTACGTTTCGGATATTATACAGCCTATGGTCGTATAGTATTTCTTTTGAGTAAATTACAAATATTAAATAACCAGAGGTGGAAATTTCCAGAACAAACTTAGATAAGGTTATGCATACCCATAATGTTCAAATATTACATAATATTCTTATCCCCAAGTAAAATTTATAATTGGCGACGATTTATCAAATTTCATAGTTCATTATTTTGCTAATTGCCCTGTCGGATTAACAACAACACTTTTACTAAATAATTCTATCTATTATGCAAAAGTGAGAGCCGTACGAATGATACATTACCATTATCTTAAACTCTGGCCAAGACGTACATTTGTAGATCGGCAATTGTTTATTTTTAATTTTTTTTACTGTGATCGTACCCTTATATTATAAACGTGACCGAACTACTTCAAATTGAAAATTTCTCTGTGTTGGTTGAACCGTTTATCAAGAAAGGCTTAAGGCTATAAACATCAGGCTAAGGGACAGCCAATAGGAGCAAAGATATCTAAAAATATCCAGTGTGTTAGCGACTTTGTTATTTTGAGCATTCAAATTCGTTTTTTCAAACTCCTTTATCTTTATAAACTTAACGACGGCGATGCACACGACGTCGGTTGCGTCCCTGTTCTTGCAAGTTAATCTTAAAAGATAGACATAAAGCCTTCGGACTCTTTCTTAGATCATTTAAAGAAGAATCATTCTTTCATATATATATATATATATATATATATATATATATATTTGGTATCTTGAACCGTGTTTGCAACGTACCCCTTGAAAACCCATAGTGAAGAATAATTTTCCAATTTTTTACATTTCTCGCAGTATCTTCACTTGTAATTATCACAGAGCGATATTTTATAGCCTTTGTCGATAAATGCTTTAACGAACACAAAAATAATTGTTCAATTCGAATCCGTAGTTCCTGAGTTTAGCGCGTTCAAACATATAAACAAACAAACTCTTCAACTTTATATATTAGATAGATAGTATAGATATAGATATAGTATAGATATCTATAAATATGTATTCAGTATCCAGCATACGAAGAAAACTTTGCAAAAAGTAATTTATTAAGTGATAAAAGCATTATTAGTTACGAATGAAGCCCGTAACACTTATTACTTACAATTAATGATTTATGACCGATACACTTGCAGCCGCCGACATTCCGCAATCGCTTCATGAACGATGAATTAATGATTTTACGAATAATAATTAAGTGGATTATTTCTCTGCTTACATAAACATTTCCGCACTGTATTATCTGCGATTGTAGAGTTTTCCCAAGCACTGTATAAAGTTAAGCTTCACAATCTCTCAATAGCAGTAGGTTTTACGTACAAAGATTATCTACGTCGTCCTTTTTTAAAATTAGTCTTAGTCTGTAGTTTACGTGAGTAGTAAATATTTAATTAAAACACTTTAAACGATTAAAAATGTCGGGCTGTATTGAAAGTAGTTTGTAAATAAATCTAAGTATCAAATTTCGCGTTTTAAACCGTTAAAAGTGTTCTTATTGAAGAAAAATACTGTTTCATACTTTTCAATGCAGACAAAGAAAGTAGAAGAATCGGAAAATAAATAAATACGTAAATACAAACACAGCTAAAAACAATCGGTTACTAAGCTTTAAAACATATACCACCTATTCTAATATTGTTTCAAACTATTACTGTGCCAGGTGAGGGTTTATGAGCCGCTGAAAAGCATCTGGTACTTCGGGCTGTAGTTTGAATAATTATAAGAAAAGCTATTTCTTGCGAAGACACCGCTAGTAAATATACCAACTTCGACGGAACAGATGGCGCTAGCATAGCTATTTACCTTGACGTCAGAGACATCCTCCTTAGCTAAATGAGGACGTCAAGGACAAATCTAAGACTGAGACTGATCTCCCCGTGACCACGGCTGCTGCAAAGCATCCGAAACGTCGGCCGTAGTTAAAATAATTTTTAAATAAGTGTAAGTAATAAATCTCGCCTTTTAAACTGTTCACAATGATTTATTTAAATGTGTACTACTCGCGTAAGCTACAGACATTACTAACATAAAAGGACCCATCACGCCTTTCTAGTACGGATTGGTGGAGTTTAACGACTACCGCATTTGTAATGGTGACAACTGCGTCTGACAGCTATCCCCCGGCTCCTTATATCTGGCTATAGGTACATGGAAAATTCAAATAGCAAAATAATACAGTACGTTGCTTATACGATTTTATCTCCTAACCAATTATTTTAGATATCCTTTAGATAGTTCCGAGTCGCCACAGGCAATAAAATATCGTCGCGGTATTCGCATCTTAAAAATCCGACGAATTTCTTTAATCGAGAAATTCATTGCAATCAAATGGAATTAACTTTCTTTTGCGAGAATGAGTAGTTATAAGACATAATGTTGCTCTCGACCAGTTAAAGCATGTCAATATAAATAGAACCGCTTCGGGTGGTAACTTATAAGTGAAATCCCGTTTCCCCCTCGTGGGGTATGGGGCGGACACATCTGTGTCTGTTTCACTGATCCGTTCTTTAACAGGCAAGTAGTTAGCAAGCAAGCAAGTAGTTAGTTAGCAAGTTTAGATCAGACTTCTGTGCCCTACCCGACTGAAACCATTGGGCTACAGAGACGGTTATTTATAGTTTACGGTAAAGAAACATCGTGAAGAAAACGGGTTTTTTAGAATTTACACTAATATTCAAAAGCTGAAAAGTTTTGTTTGTTTGAATGCGTTAATCTCAGGAACTACTGGTTCGAATTGAAAAAAAAAACGTTTTGTGTTGGTTATTTCTCAAAAAGAGTGTTTGTGGAAATTAAATTTCACCAACGACAAATTGGACCAGATGGCGACTGAATCTACGATCTGTTTATGAACCCTGTGTTACCATTTACCATGTAAAATTTAGCAGAAAAATAACCACATACACTTTAGTAAGTTTACCACCAGAATAATATAAGGCAACAATGAACAAAATTTATTTACACTGTGGTTTA